CTTAAAAAACCCAGAAAAGTTAAATTAAAATGATAAATGAATAGAATGCTTAGCATAATATAATAATAATGAGACAAGTTCGAAGTGGTCTATAAACAACACGATTGCATAACGACAAAATTAAAACAAGTTCCCAAAGGCAAACTAATAATCCACAATACTGTGCTTGATTTAAATGAGAATGAGTAGGCGTATTTTATTTCTGGTATCAAATAACGAAATAAAATCAAGTTCTTTTCCTCTTTAAGTAGTTATTTTACGACACAGTTTAGATCAAATAATATTTGAAAATGATTTATTCATATTGGCAAATGAGCATCATATTTCCAAAAATTCATATCAAAGTTGTAAATTGCTTTCAAATATAGCGATTCTCGGTCAGTGGTGTGCGAACACAAAATGTAGGGTCAAACATTTTTCGATATAATGATAATAGTAATCTTACAATATATTCAGTGTTATTGTTGATGAACTTTGGAATTGCGTCTCTTTAATGCTTCTATTTAGTATCCAATGGTTCAGTAATTCTTTATAAGGATTTATATAGAGCAACCGGTCAATTGTTTAAGCGTCCCGACGATAAACCTGTCTCAATATCTTCTACAAAAACCTGAAGTTGGTTGATTAGTTACTTGAGTAACTGACTAACAACACTGAAATTTGGTCAAAACTTTACCACAGCTAAATTAGACTATCACTGAACATAATTGCAAACTAATCCTAACATCCTATCATTTTTAAAGGCCAGGATGACTAGCACCGAGCCAGAACGAATTTGCTTCCAAAAAAGCTTGGACACGATGTTAAATAATTTTTATAAGGTTTTTGATTTGAAACCCGAATTGAACGTAAAACAAACTAAATTTCAACTAGAAGCCAATATAACAGTGTACGTTGCATCAGTAATCTTACTTCATTAGATACACAGACTTATCGATTCAAAACTTCTTAATATAATTAGGTTCCTAAAGCATCAACTAAAAAACCAGGGAACACTAGATATCTGTTTTTTACTAAATTTTAAACCGTTCACTAATGTAATTCAGGTCAATACATATGAACACGAAAGCAGGAATTACCGACCATATATTGAATATAAAATCTTTAAGCCACTGAGTTTTGATTGACTGGTTTACATATCCTAATTCAGTTACTTTGTGATCCCACTCGATATTTGTGCAGCAACATTGTAAGTTACAATTTGGACATTAGCTTTCTTGATTACATAGATAATGGACTACCACTAGGTGTTTGAGATATCCTTCTCGAGGGTAGTAACTTTTATAAACCGATTATAGTTCGAAGATGAACCAAAACCTATAGGTATTTACCAGTGTTGTTTTTATTTATGGAACAGATAAATATTTTCTATAATAATACGATCAAACGTTGGTCAGAACATTTCTCCCGATCTGAGTACCCATTCACTACAGGATATTACACTTGGAGGTTACTTCCTAGACTCAGTTACACGATTTATTTGTTTCCAGCTCAATTTGTTCACATACTTGACTTTACAATCTCAGTTGTAATGTACCGTTCTTGCTTAAGCTTAATTTAGTGATAACTCGAAATCTCTACCTTTTTCTTCTGTATCCGTATGTCAGAGGCTATCAACTTTGAAACAGGAAATAACTACTTGCATGTATCTAATTCACATGAAGAAGAGGAAGGTGAAACATTGAAGATGTATAAATTATATTGGAGTTAACGAACAGGTGTATTACATCCATAATCCGGTAAAACAATAATGATAAATCGACTGAGTTAACTTTCATTTGAATCATATCATATTCCGTACTATTCTTAGCACTATTGATCAATGTAAAACAGCTCTTTTTTCAATAAAATAAAAGTTTTCTAATTACAATTATTTAGTAGTGTGTTGTTATGTAATATCTAAGCCAAAAAAAGCAAAAAAGAGTTTCGAAGGTACCTTGACCCTATTAGACCCCACTAAACTACATTGAAATCATTGAAGAATACTGCTTGTCTCTAGTTATAGACTCCTGCTAGCGAACACCTACGGACTTACACACACAATCACGGTGTGGATTATAATTTGAAAACCACTGAGTGGAAATTAATAATAACAACCAATTTGTCGTATACTGTGGCTATCAGTGAGTGAGATTGGTGAGTTACTTTTTTCATTTCGATGGTGGCGATTTATTTGAAATTGAAAATGTAAAATCCGAGTCTTGAATTCAGTCTAATTTGGGCTCATCAGTTCCCTTTGAGGAAGAGTACTTATCTAGGAGGTAAGTAATATCAAATTTTCCCTGATTTTCGATAGCTCACTAGCTGATTTCTGTCCAAAACGAACATCTTATTTGTATGCTAACTAATATTTACTAGCTGACCAACTTAATAACATTTACCTTAAAGTAAAATAAATATACAAAATAAGAATAAGAAACCAAACCAAGTCAAAGCCACCATTTAATATCACTGGTGTTTTTGCAGATTATTTCATAAGTGTAAATAACCTTTATTTGACAGAATAAGTGAACTAACCCTTGAAACAGGTATGAAAATATTAAACAGTTTACTGAATAATTTTTTCCTGGTTAGCGTTTATTTAGCGAGTTAGTTTTCTACGGGATGGCGTCACTGACCCCATGTCCGACTCTCCTCCTTTGTCCGGGCTTGGGACCGGCAGTAGCCTCAGATGGAGTTACTAGACTATATATATATATATATATATATATATATATATATATATATATATATATATATATATATATATATATATATATATATATATATATATAAGTAATTTCTTCACTCAATCGGTTCCTTGCTTATTTGCCAAATGCCAAAATGAGAATTTTCACGATGTTAAATATTCTTCGGAGTTTCAAATCCTTTTTTCATTTTTCCTTCATATAGTCCAGTGAAACAATATACAGCTACAGAGACAGTGTTATTCACCAACTGTTTAATTTAATTTGTACACTTATTTTTTTTACAACAAATCATTTCATTAAAATTATTTTGATAATCGAAATAATTTAAAGTAACTTGATCACATTTCATTCATTACTATGTCCTACCAATCCTACCCAATCAGCCAATTATCATTAAGGAGTATAATTTTTTTTTTATTTTTGCCACATTTGAATGTTCACTCATTGTAGTTTATCTAGAAGTTGTTTCTGTTTTAAATTTGAAACTCAAAAAGGTAAACTGACCATTGAAGTCCCTGCAACTTATGGAAACAAAGTTGTTATTAAACAGAAATAACAGACAAAAATTGAATAAGTCCCCTTAAGCAATGCTACAATTATAAAATATTGTTGAATACACTAAAGAATATGGACAGCTATAAATGGTTATTTTGAAACTGTTACAGTAAAAGTCAGTATTGAACAACCAGCCGCAAAATATTGTTTCTTTTTAGTTGATCCACCCTATTTGCGTCCACCATTTTTTAATAAAATGTATCTTTTAGGAGATGGCTTCATTAATGAAAAACAATAATGTAGAATAACTCAGTTATTGACCACCAGTTCATGTAACAAACGATATAAAGTTACTAATCATGCTTAAGTAGTGACTTTTTATTGCCAAAAGATTAAAAAAATGACTTATCAATTCCCAGCTGACGTTTGCTCTACTCATTTTGCTACGGTATTATGTAGATTTTTACTGGTGGCATACTCCTATAGAGGGATTATCAAATCGAAACATATTTCATATATCCCTGTTTTTTTCCAAATAGAGTTTTTAACCCACACTATCTTACTAATGATTGGAAGTATTTTTTAATAAATTCCATATAATTGACTACCACTATAAACTTCATGCTTTAAAAAAATGTCTCTTCAGAAATATTTAAATTTAAATGTTTACGGATTTTTAAACTGCTTTTAAATCTTTTAAAACTCATCATCAACTTTACAATTCAAAATAGGATACTAACTGGTACAGAGACTCATTCATATCAGTCGAAATTGGTTTCTGTCGTGATTCTTAATGAAAATGTAGTTAGTCCTTTTGATGATTCCAGATAACGTTTACATTGCTTGCGGATGTATATATTAACAGATCAACAAAATTGCTTGACGAGAAAATGTTTGAGTCACGATATTGTGATTTGTTCAAGTGTCTGTATTCCACTGATGATTCACTGATTGCATAACTTACCCGGGAGTTATTATTAGATAAGCCACTAGTAATTAATTTATTCTTACAATAGAATTTTTACCTTCTGATTCATATATTGTCATTCCTATCCCAATAAAACACAATAGACCTTTTGTCAGTAAAGAGAAAGTCCTTCAGTCTTTAATAAATGCATCATTACTAGTCAGACGATTGATTTTTGTTGTCCCTTTTTAGATTACGTACCAAAACCGGAAATTCACTATTTGGAATCCGATTTTTTCTAAATAATTGGATACTGACACAACAGTCATTATTCTATTAGTATAGCCCGTTCGAAACTGTTAATTTTTGTTTTACAGCGAATTTCATATTTCTAAACAAATCATTCCTAGGTCTAAACGTTGTCTACACCAACAGTTTAGAAACATTAAATTATTCAGTGTAAAGAAGTAGTATGGTGATCTAGATTCAATTGACTCATGATTCCAACCAATGAAAGTAGTACGTTTATATCGTGTGAAGAGAAGTAAATCCAGGAGAAGTAGAACTTAGTGCTTAAATATATATAAAAGGAAATGGTTTCTTATGGAATCAATCTAAATAAATTGATGTAATAAAATTCTGTGAAATAAAATTTTTCAGTTGAGAAATTACTTAACTATTTTCAGTGTTTGAGTTAACAATAGAATCATCATACATAACGCGCCATGTTCAACTCAACACCTAAATAGACTAACTAAAATCTCCTTGAAAGTTAAAAGTTAAATGGTACTATTCTGGTTCACAATTTTGATGAAATTACAAGTAATTGGTTTGTTTAATTCGTAAACAATTGATTTAAAAAAGATTTATGAGATCTACTTTAAGACTTTATTATTTTTTATTAACAGATAATTTTCGTAAATAAGATGTTGCATTTTCAAACTGTATTTTGGGTACAACTTTTAATTATCAGCCTATTCTACACTCACAAAGTAATCACATCAATGCCGATAGCTGAAGAACTGAGTATTGAGTGTACAATTCAATGTGGAGTCGAAGCTGATAAATGTCAGAAAGCACATACAACAACACAACCACTAATAGAAGCATGTGTACAAAAAATGTTTGAATGTGTCAAACACTGTACTGGACCACCACCTGTTGAAGATTATTATTATTACTAATCGAACAAACCACCAGTTGATTTATCGGTAGTATGTGCTCGTTTTATGAAGGTCTCTTAATTCCGTAAAACAAAAGTATGGCAAATATATTACAGTAAGAAAATGTTTGTTATCTATTTTAAGTATTAAAAATTATCAATAAACTTCTATGTCAAGTTAATTTTTATTTTCTGTCAAAATAGTCTCGACTGATGTATTCAGCGATAATTTGTGTAGTATAAAACATTGTGTCCTAATAAATTAGTTCATTAAAATGAATTTGGTGTCAACAATTCACTTTCACTAGTAACCAACAATGTGTAACATTCAGCTTACTTACTTGCGTAGTTACTTATGGCTAATAACCTTCGTGGAGCTTAAGCCATCGACCAGGACTTCCCAATAACTCTGTCCTGGGCTGTCCTTTTTCAGTTGTTTTCAAGTACTATACGTTTCTTGATGTCTGCCACGAATTCCCGGGGCGAAATGTACTTTGGTTCACTGTTTTTCCTTTTATATTCAGGGTTCTAAGTTGGGGCCTGCTTCGTGATGCAATTTGATGATTTCCCTAATATATCTCCTACTCACCTACAACTTCTTTTCTTAAGTTCTTTTGCTGCTGGAAACTGGTTTATTCTCTCCCACAATACGTTGTTGCTGATGGTATCCGGTCAACGAACATTTAGTATTTTGAGAAGATAATTGTTCATAAATATTTGTACATTTTTGATTGTGGCTATAGTAGTTCTCCACGTTTCAGTTCCGTACAGTATGACGATCTTGACATTCGTATTGGAGATAATGATTTTGGTATTGGTTGACAATTGTTCTGAGTTCCATATAATAATCAACTGTAGGAATGCTGTCCCTGTTTTGCCAATCTGTGGCTTCACATCTGCATCAGATCCCCTTTGTTCATCAATGATCGTCCTCAGGTACGTAAATCTTTCCACCCATTCCAGAGCTTCTCTGTCAAGTGTGATTTTTTTGGTGCTGGTTTGAGGTCTGCTGCTGCAGCACCTGACGATACGATGACTGTATTGACCTGAATTCGTACCTGTGTGTGATATCGGAGGGCTAGGTCATCTGTGAATTCTGACTAATCCAATTGCATGCAAGTTGTCCATTGTATTTCGTGCTTGCCCTCGAATGTCGAGGTCTTCATTATCCAGTCAGCCACCAGAAGAAATGAGAAGGAGGGGTAGTAAGCAGCCTTGTATAACACCGGTCCTTACTTGGAATGCAACTGTCAGCTGTCCTCCATGCACGACATTGCAGTGCAGTCCGTCCTATGAATTTAGTATAACGTTGACGATCGTCTCAGATACACCATAGTATCGAAGAAGCTTCCATAGGATTCGCCTATCCGCGCTGTCAAATGCTTTCGCATATTCGTAGAAGTTGATGCATAATGATGAGCTCTATTCAATTGATTGTTCAACAATTATTCGTAACTGCTTCTTTGTCTAACATCAGTGCTTCAGATGGTATGTTGTTTGGTCTTGATGCTATCCCTCTCTTGATTTGTTCAATAGAGCTGGTCTTTTCAAGATTTCTTCAAAGTGTTCTACCCACCCGTTCTTCTGTTCTTGAATTTCAGTGATTGGCTTCAGTGTATTCACTTTGGGCCTTCACTCTCTCTCTCTGTGTTCTTGTTCAGCTGTTGTTCATTGGTGTTCTCATGTTCTTCCTTTCTCAAATCTTGTTCAGCATTTCGATGGAGATCTATTCGTTATGATGATGTGTCCTGCAGCTCAGAACCTCCTGACACGTTGAAGTTAGTGCTCCTCCGATATATTTTCAATTGTTCACCATGGTAGTCCCTTCTTCTTCTTCTTCTTCTTCTTCTTCTTCTTCTTCTACCTCCAGCAGATCTCGTAAGACTTGAAACCTGTTGTTCAGAATTATCTTGAATTGGTTGAGTTTGTCAGTATGTCGAAGGAAGGCTGTATTGAACCTTTGTGATGCTGTTTCGCCAGTTGTTCAGTGCTTCTTTACCCTCAGTTTCATCTTGTCAACCACACGCGGGTGGTGATCTAAAGCCACGTCAGCTCATCTTCTGTTTCTCGTGACTTCCATTAACCTTCTGAATTTTCTAGTGATGCAGATAAGATCCGTCTGGTTCTCTGTAGTGTGATGTGGTCCGGTGAGTCCCATGTGGTTTTCGTGTATGCGCCTGTGAGTGAATAAAGTAGTGTCAATAACCATTTTCTTGGAGTCACATGAATTTGCAACTCTCTCTCTCTCCCTCTCCCTATCTCCATAATCGTACGTTTCTCCCAGTCAGCTCAAGTCGTCCGATGTCATCTTCATATCCGGTGTTGTACATTCCGACTTCGACGTTCAAGTCTACCATTAGGATGGTCCCGACAGTTCCTACATTGGGCACTTCTCCACGACCGACTAACTGCAGCCTCTCATAAATCTGATCTTTATCGTCTTCATTGCTGTGGTTGGTGGATGCATAGCACTGGATAACATTTAATGTGATCCATCCCGTATTTGTCTTGAGATTTCCATTCTATAAGTGCTCTTTGTGTTTCTGTGGACAAAATCAGAGCAACTCTCTCAGTGTGTGTGTGTGTGTGTGTGTGTGTGTGCAGCATTTCCTTCTTCATGCCCAGAGCACAACAGCACCACTCCTCAATCTACCCTTTTCTGTTCAGCTTGAGTTCAATGGGTTTCACTGATTCCGAGTACTATCAATTTGTATAATCTCATTTCCACAGCTATTTGATTGATTTTTCCAGTTTCTCACATTGTCCGAACATTCCATGAATTTATATTAATTGTTTCTCTGATTGATAGAAGTGGTATCGGCCTCGTTACTTCGGCAGAACCTTTGATTTCATCATGAAGCGTCATAATTGTTCTGAAAGAAGATCCTTCAACCTCGATGTCAGAGTATAAATGGTGTAATTTGTCAATTTTGGTGAGCGTTTTCTTAGGAGTGTTGTGTTCTACGGGATGGGGATGCTGATCCCACTCCCAGTTACTGTAAAATAATTTTAAGTTCAAGTTGTCCTATATTAATCCGAAGAACGATAAACATTTAAAATCGGACAGCACTAGTCAACGTGATTTTTTGGGGTAGCACTATGCTGCAAAACGAGTAAAGCTTAAACAACATACTCTAAAATGTAACCTAGTAGTTCAAATGATCCTGTTTACCACGAGACCTGAATTGCCTGAGTCCAATACGTTATGAAATTAATTATACACACTGGTGATAAGTCTCAAGTGGAGTGGTAAAAGAAATTCTGTGTTGTCTAATCATCTTGATGACTTCACTTCAAGATTGAAATTAATCTTGATTAAAAAAATCCTTTGCTTAACCTCAAAGATTTGTAACTAAAGTGATTACTAGTACAAGGTTAAAATTTCTGTCACGCTTTATTTTTAGGTTATACAAAGACACATGACCATTAAAATTTTTATTTAACACAAACAAAAGATTATAACATATGAAGGACAAGCAAAATCTTGATTGATACTTTGAGAATAGTTTGATCACTTAGCTAATTATTTGGCTCTAAAGCAGTTACTATTAATAGGTTTGACACAATAGGTTCACCACATGATGGTCAAGGTAGATTTTTGCGAGGCATGGTAATTAACGTTTCAGTTAAAAACTTGTTAAAACTGTGTTTTAATTATTCAAATACGTAAGAAAGAAATTAAATAATCTCGTTAGAAAAAATCTTTAAACAAATGACAACCCGAAAATAGTGTAAGAATATCACAACTGATAGATAGTGCTACAAATCCACTACAGATTTTGAGTAACTTCTGGTTAAAATCATGATCATCACATGATTTGAAAGCATTTACACCACCAAAGCTTTCAAAATCTAACATCTGAATTAGTTATCACATAGCACTAACAGTTCAACGTGTGACTGGACTAACATACCTTACCTTAATTAAATAGATAATATTACATAATTGTTGAGAAGCTAGAAGTGAATTATTCATCGCCACAATATGATTGCTCAAACTAAAATATACATATGTTATTTAAAAGTGTCTCACCATATTAAATCACAGTACACTACAAAAATCCCAAACACACGTTTTTAACAACAAGAACACAGGAACAATAGTGTTTATTATTAATTAATTATATAAAACAGTAAGGAATTACAACACAATCAGTTTCATTGTTGACATCTACTCAAAGACCAAAACAGATACGCACGTAATTATATGTACATAAAAAAGCATTGATCGATACGTGAGAAAATTTTTACCCAAGTCAGCGATGCGAAACACATTTTCTTTATCAAATATCTTAATCTGCACGCTCACCTTAAACTCACATACAGTTCATTGAACTGTTATGCCTAATCACAATGTTGATCAGTTTATAATTAAGTAAACTGGTTGACATAAAACGCGATATCGTGTTTTATTTGTTATTGTAATCATATATTTATTTACACACCTGATTAGAAATGTTTATATCTGTTAATCTCTCAAAAATTCCAAGTATGAACAAATTAGCGATTGTGCGACTCATAACAAATTGTATTATTCGCTGATAAAAACGAACCACTGAATACTATGTCAACAACTTTGCAATATTTTGTAGTTACAGTTTTACAATCATAAATGTTTTACTAAGTGGCCTATGGTCCTCCTAAGATTTGATATTTGGTCAAACAATTTGGCTTAGAAAGTACAACCGTTTTCAAATAAATACAATGATTTTATTAAAACCTAGATTTAAAATCCGGATTGGTAATGATTTTCTCAAAACCAATGAAAAAAATGTATAGAAGATCACTCACAGTATTTTATAACCAATTATATTTTTTGAGTACATCTAAATATCTACTATGAATAGTTCCCTAATAATCGACCAAACACCTTACTAAAATTATGTTAGTATCCATCTCATTACTTAATGCATTTGGAATTTCGGAGGGATTATACGACCACCTTGTATCAAAAGTACTGTTTTTATTTTTATGCTAACAATTGTAGTTTTATTGTCACTTGAAGGGAGTCGTATCAGGGTTTCTAACGAAAAAATTGTTCATAATTTTTGTATAGAATAGATAATATAACATGAAACGTTTTTAAGATCTTCATTAATTATTTATTCTACTGTCTCTAATTTCACTAAATATAAGTCACATCATAATAGTCCTATTGTTTGAATCATGACTGTACAACAGA